ATTGTAAGAACTTAGCTTTTATTTTTCTGTAACATTTATTAGTTTTATCAGCGACTTTGCATTCCTTGCTTACTGCTTACATGTTTAATCTGAAAATGATGGCAACTTTTTTCCTTGAATTTATACAGGCTCTATTCTCTTCAGGAAGACATGAAATGGATGGATCTAACCGACTCCGTTCTGACTTTTTGGAGGTGTGCTGTTCACCATTCTTTATATGAATACATCTGTAGTATCATTATCATTTTCTTCTCCATCCTACTTCCTGTTTTCACTGCTCTGTTTCTGTCTCTGTCTCTGTCTCTCTCTCTCTCTCTTTCTCTCTCTTCCAGCAGTGGAGATAATTTCTTAAAAAGATAAATATGATAATAGTTACAATTACAATAATACTAGATGCTCTCATCATTGTGACGGAAATTAATTGCCTGAAAGATACTGAAGACCACAGTACTTGATCTGCATATAGTGGTGTATAGTTTGAATACCGAGATATTTCTTTTTGAAGCACATCCTGCTCTATCAGACCAGAATCAAATATGTATCATGTTGTGTTCTGAACTGCAGAAGTATTTTAACTAGTCCGGCCTTAACTTGTTTATTTATGTTCCTGAATGGTAGGACAAATGTATTGCTGTAATTATGAAAGCTGTTATGAACACAGGTGATGGACTTTATTAATGATGCAATTGTATCTCTGGATGCTTTTGTTACCGCATACAAACCAGCAGCTGTGTTTTTCTCGTGTCCTGTGGAAACTAGGTATCCCATCTCTGCTGCTTCTCTGTCTACCCTCAACTTTTCTAGTTCTACATCTTCTACTTATCATCTCTGTCCTTGCAGTTATGGGAATGAGGAACTGCTCAGCACCCTTATGCGGTTACACGATTCTTTGCTTCCATCTTTACAGCATGGGTTCAAGGATGAATTTATTGCTGGAGATGATGGAACTTTTTCAGATATTGCAATAAGTTCAAAGATGTTATCAACGAGAATATTCAGTTTCGGATGGAAACTATTAGATCTTTGCTATCTTAGTGATGAAGTGTTTAAAGATGGTATTCCTGTCCCACCTGTCACAAAGATGTTTCCAGCCAAAGTGGAGGATCCCATTATAAGGGCAGATATTCTAGTGCAAACTCTTAGGGAGCTCAGTGGAGTTTCTACTCATGGTCAGGACAATCAGAACAGAAATACTTTCCTTCAAAAGATTGAATTGAATTACAATTTAACAAGCAAACTAAGGAGTCTACAGAATATTGGTAAGTAGATTCTTGTCAAGTATTTGGTCCTGTTTTCTTTGTTGTTATTTAAGGTATGGTTTTGATGCCGTAAGATAGGTGCTGACTCTATTCAAGGACTATAATAGAAAATGAATAGATATTTATACTTTTTATTCCAAAAAAAAGGAGCTCATGTGAGGTGAGTGAATATAACCTGCCTTACAACCATTGCTTGACGAGACGGGTTAAATCTTTAGAAGAAAAAGGAAAGATATAACATTAAAACAGGGCACCAAGGGGGGTGCCACCTAATATGAAAGAAAGCTTTAGAAGTTAGTCAAGACACCAAGATCCAGAATCCACTTCAGATGAAAGAGGATAATCCTTAAAATAAAGAACCAAGCATATGGAGCCAAATGATATCTAATCTTGTCAAAAGAAGAGCACTTCTTCTCCAAATCCCCACTATTTTTTTTCCTTCCAAATATATATATATTTTTAAAAATCCTTCCAAATGACCAAATAAAGTTAAAATCGATTAGTGTTATCATCCTCTATGAAGCCAATTATCTTGAAACTTGTCAAAAGAATATTTTCCCTAAAAAACGCTTCATTTTTATTTTCTTTTCAAAATATCCCCAACTAATACTCAAAAGATTAATGCTGTTATCTTCTTCCGATCTTTGCCAACTTAAATGCCTTGCCAAGCCCGCAACTTCTTTGCCACAGGACTTCCGGTCACCTATTTAATTTTGAGGGTTGAATCTTTCTGTTACGGTCACCCACATCTTGTCGTATGTATATTGTTGATTCATAATTATTTTTGTTAAAAAAAATTGTAAATTCATATTTCTATATTTATAGTTGAAAAAGTTGTCACAACATCAAAGTAGAATACTTGTGTTTTTGCTACTATGACCTCTACTATTCATGGAGAACCTTTGAAATCCTAAAAAGTTGTGCTGTTGGAAATGGCATTGTTATATGTGGATTGTGGATTTGATCTCCATGTCTTACCATATAGTGATATTTAGAAAAAACTTTCCTATCTATATTCTCCTTTGCAGGATGGATACTCATGGATCATGAACAATTTAAATATGTATCTGGTATCATGACGCCTTCTCGCAAAGGCTTTGTTTCTAAGGAGAGCACCATTTCGCCAGCTACTGTATCAAGTAACCAGGTGCTGATGGATGAAGATGCTGCAGTTATGGAGTCCAAGATAAGTCAAATAAAAGATCTCTTTCCAGATTATGGTAAAGGCTTCTTAGTTGCATGTCTTGAAGTTTATAACCAGAATCCAGAAGAGGTTATTCAGAGGATTCTCGAGGGAACTCTTCACGAAGATCTTCAGCTATTGGATACTTCCTTGGAGACACTTCCGGCACCTAAGTCTACTTCAGCTGTAAGCAAGAAAGAAAAAGGTAAAGGAAAACTTATTGAAACTTCTGTTACCTCTGATAATAAGCCGGTGGCTGCATATGCAAGGGAACAACCTGAGGGCCCTTCAGTTTCATCATCATTATCATCATCTTCATCTGCGATTGGGAGGTATATGAGAAAATCTAAAGGTGACTTGCCAGATCATGTAATCCATGATTCTAGAAATGAAGAAGACATGGTAAAGGCTGCTGCTCTAATTTCTCAGTATGAGTATGAAGATGAATATGATGATTCATTTGATGACTTGGGTTTAAGTGTTGGGGAATCAGGATTAGAGGACAATGAGATATTGAGCGAGAGAATACATTCTAATTTTGGAGCAGAAACTGAAGCTTCTTCCGGGGCAGCATCTGTTTCAAAGTGGGGCACCAAGAGGAAGCCTCAATACTATGTCAAGGATGGGAAGAACTATAGCTACAAGGTTGCAGGTTCAGTTGCTGTTGCAAATGCTAATGAAGCTGCATTAATTACTCAAGCTCAAAAGGAGTTGATACACGGCCTTGGACGAGGCGGTAATCTTCCTCTAGGAGCAGTTAAAAAGCTTACAGAGTATGAGGAGCAAAATAACCAATCAGATGTCTCGGAGATGGAGGGGAGGGGTAATACAAGGACTCCTAGAGGCAGGGGAAGGAGGGGAGGAGGGAAACCGAGGGAGTCCTCCACCGCCAGTGATCAAGCTAACCAGTTGAATGCTTCTGAAACTGATGGCGGAGTGAGTTTGGGAAATCCAAGGGGACGAGGAAGGAGGGGAGGAGGAGGTGGAAGAAATCATTACAGGAAAGATCGAGCAATGAATAAGCACTTTTCCGGGTTGACCGGTTTCTAGGTACACACACACACACAAAACAATTACAAAGCTATCAGGCGTTTTTATTATCTCCTCCGTGTATGTATTAAATGTTCTTCTCTAAACAACTTTAATATGTCCTGATGCTCCCCCTGTTACAGCTTTGGCAGAGGGCATATGACTAGGTTGAAAGGCAAAAGGTTACAGTATCTCCATATTATTTTTGGTGGTAGCCTAACATTTCTCTCCTCTCCTTTTTTCTTCTCACTCCTATCCTACGGGGTTGTCAAGTTTAATTTGGATATGGGTTTTATCTTAGGTGAATTCGATCTCAATTTTAATTTATTTAAAATTCACCGAGACAATTTAATTTATTTAAATAAAAATCATGACTAAAAATTAAAAGTAAATAAATTTTTTTCAAAAAGGTAATGGCATTCATCCAAATTTCTATTATTATTATTATTTTTTTAATTTTAACTCTTACTTAGATGGTCGGAAATATTATATTTTAATAAATTTTATTTTATTTTATTTTTAATAATTTTTTGTTAAGTTATATGTAATAAATAAAAATAAATTAAATTAATCATACCAAAATGTAAATTCTTAAGAAAAGACATTCAAAAATTTTAATGAGGGATTTCTATGTTAATTTAAAAATTCCACCAAAAAAATAACCACTTATGAAATGCCAATAGTAATACATACATATGTATATATATATATATATATATATATATTTCTATGGGTCTAATACTTAAAAATTGCCTTTCTCCCTCTCAATTAAAAGAAAAAAAAGCCAAATAAATTCTCAATTCACATGTAATACATGACAATTGATATTAAATATTAATATCGAAAAATGAATTTTAAAAATCATAATTTAACCGTTAAGTGAAATTTTGAATACAAAATTTATAATTATAAAACAAAATTTTAATTATAAGATAAATGTATAAATTAGAATTCAAATTTAAACCAAATGGAAGAGTATGATCTAATGTTGGATACAATTCACCTGACATACGATAAATTAGAATTTAGTGTATTGTACGTCCAATAAATTAGAACTTGAAAATTGGTAGTTCAACCCAAAAAAAAAAAAATATTTTTTATTGTATTAAAAAAATAAGTTGACATGCAATAATTTGTGAATTTTCAGTGTTTTTTTTTCTTCCAAAAATACATAATGCCTTGTGAAATAATGATCGTTCGTTTTTGTTTTTCCTGCTTGGGACACGGACTCATTAATAACTCCGTTACGGCACCAGAAATAGCAAATCCACACGTGTCCAACTGTTGTTCACATGTGCCTAATCACCCACGCCCTCGTGTGTGTATCTCAAAGAGCCATCTGGTTGCCCGGACTCATCAAAACGGTGCGCATAATATGTGAGAATATATCGACGGTCTACAAACCGCCACGTAATAAGATACACTAGAAACCTAGCTGCACCGCGCCACACCCCCCTACCGAATATTCTATACCACCCAAATGGAATAGTTCGTCCCCATTATAAACTTTTCTATTTTCCTGTTGCCGATTAGAAAAAGGAACCCTCAAGAGACCTGTAGTTTATAAGAGGCTCGCTCGCTCTCTCTCTCTCTCTCTCTCTCTCTCTCTCTCCCTTTTTCTTCGGGGGTTTGGATTCGGAATCTATACTCTTTAAAAACCTTACAGAATTCATTTTAATGGATACATTGTCTTTTGATTCAATCTTATTCTTGTTGTTCTTTCGGCGATCTTTGATATTGATTCGGTTTTGTTTGGTCCATTTCTTGTTCTCAAAATCTTCGCGCTGTTTTCAGTTTTTTAGTCAACGTTGACGTAATTTGACAATTGAAGGAGAGAGGAGTAATTTGACGATTGAAGGAGGGAGCCGCCTAACATGGGGAAGCGTGAGCTTTCTTTCTCTTCTGTATTAGTACGCTGATTCTAGGATTTCTAGGGTTTTCTGTTTTCTTTTGTTAAATTTAATTATGCCAGTTCTGCGTTTAGTTTAATTTTCTGTGCAGTTAGACGAATATTCTTTCTGATCTTTGATTTCTTGTTTGATCTTGTTAGCGATGCCTTTAATTTTCTTGAGTTTGAATTTTAGCTTCAATACGACGTAATTTACCTGAATTTCTGCTGAATGTTAAGGCTCAGTTTGCGACATGGAAATGAATTTTCTATACAACATATACGGTTATGCATATAGAAATAATTGGACTCATGCGGAACGCGAGTTGAAGTTTTTGTTAAAAAAATGACAGGTAGTTCTCAACGTAGGAGTGCTGCGATGTTGGATAGTGAGGATGACAATAGTAGTGTGAGTTCGTGTACAAGTATGCGTTCTGATAATGTATTGGCTACTGAAGAAGTTCAACTGGATAAGGATACTTTACTGGATCAGGCTGTTGATGCTTTATACGAGAAAAGGTAATTTACTTTCAGTTTAGAACTTCTGATAAATGATTGGTTCTCTATAACCTTTAAAATGTTGGTAATATGAATGGGATTTAATGGGGAGATTATCAGCTGTTAAGTTAATAATATGGCTGGATGTTTGTGATATTCCTGGTGTTTGCATTTTTACTGGCAGTCTGCTCAATGATTGTTCCCTGTGCTGTGACTCGGGAATTGCCTAATTGATTTTCTTTTTCCACTTGCTTTTGTGGATGAAGGGCTTCTACAAGGGAGAAAGCTTTGTCATTTATCATCGAGGCTTTCAGCAACAATGTGCAACATCAGTTTGTGGAGAAGAAGTAAGTGCCTAGTTTGTTGTGTTGTCTTGGTTCTATTTATTCTCTCTGGTCATTTATAAACTTTTTTGAGAAGTATTAGAAAGCTGGAGAACTTTTAAAAAGGTCTTTTACGAGAAACTATGAGTTTCCAAGAATCTACATCAGATTTAAGGGTTTAAGTAATTTCACATGGGAAGGAGGCCAAGTCACATTGCTAAGTGTTATTTTTAACGATTGTCTTAAAGTTAAGTAGTAGTTATTGAATCTGTGAGTTTACCTTTGAGATTTATGTGATCAATTTGCTATTCAAAAACGCTAGTCTGTTGAGAATAAGATATGCAGAGAGAGATATTCTTCAGTAATTTAATTGGGTTCTTTCTTGATGAGCCCAAGCACTTAATCTGAATTGGTCATGAAGGAGGGAAAAAACAGAGACATTCTGGTTTTTCTTATCTGATTTTTAGTTTACAATCACCTAAAACTACATCTGGGGCTTTGGAACATATCAGATGTTTTCTTGCAAAAATGGCAGGTGTGCTGAATCATATGCCAAGTCATACTTAGATCTGTTATGTGCCTACAGTGGGAATTGAGAATCAAAAGTATTGCAGAAAATGTGAAGTTTATGGCATTTTTTCCATTTCCTGGATGCGCAGAGTGCAAAAAATGTTGGTTTTGCATATGTTCTGATTCTTGTATTTTGTTATGCTCTGTAGATTTGCTACTTTACTCCATCAATGCCTGAATTCCATCAAACGGGGATCTAGCACTGAGATATCTTTAGCATCTCATGCCATTGGTTAGTATACAATTTTTCCTAACCTTCTTTACCATTTAAATTTTAATTGGCAATCCGATATATAATTTGATAATTTCTTTTTGTAGGATTGTTGGCTTTGACTGTCGGTCCTGGGGACAATGCCCATGAAATATTGGAAGAATCAGTTACTCCTATTACCCAATCGCTTAAATCTGGGTCTGAGTCCTCAAAGATAGCATCAGTATGTATTAGGGTTAGGAAAACGCTTATTAGTTTTGGAGTTATAAGTTACCGTCCATTATGTTGAACTAATGGTCAAGGTTAGTGCGATTGATCTCTTCTTCCATCAAAGTTTTGGTTTTCTATTGCAGTTACTGGAGTGTTTGGCTATCATCACATTTGTTGGTGCCAATGATCCTGAGGAAACAGAAAAATCAATTCAGATTATATGGCAACTAGTTCATCCCAAACAGGGTTCTAATGTATGTACCTGTGTTGATTTATATTATCAAAAGCTTATTTTGGTTTGTGGGTTAATTAGGTCATGCAACTGATATGTTGATTTTCTTTTTAATGTTTGAGCTCCTTCACAGTAACCTGATTCATAAATGCTTAATGTACATGTTTTCTTTGTTTTTTTAATAAGAACCTTCATATCTGATTTATTTCATCTAGGTTGTTCCTGTCAAACGTTCAGCGGCAGTTATAACAGCATTAGTGTCTTCTTGGGCATTTTTGCTGACGACCATGGATGAATGGATGCTGAGCCCCAAAAATTGGCGAGAGTAAGTAAATATTTTAACTGTATTTTGTGCTTTTTGTGTCATTTCCGATGTGTAACTGGTCTTCTTTTTTTACAAAAAAAGGAATCACCTAGCTTAAGTTAATAAGATGGTTTTTCTGTGGCACTTGGTGGGAGGAATGTGAACAGTGAAATATGGTTGTAACTTATGGTTCTAAATACAGGTCAATTTCATATTTTATTAGTCTTTTGGAAAAGGATGACCGATCTGTACGTATTGCTGCTGGTGAAGCGTTGGTCCTGATCTTTGAGATATGTAGTCTGGAGAAGTTATCTGCTCAAGATAAAGGTTCTAATGATGGTTCAAGTCCAGAAAGAAATAAATCTCAGGAAGGATGGATGCATATACAAGGGCTTAAGACGAAATTTCTTAATCAAGTTAGATACCTCTCTACAGAGGCTGGTGGTAGAGGTTCTACTAAGAAAGATCTTAACAGCCAGCGGAATCTATTTAAGGATATTTTGGAGTTTCTTGAGGTATCTTCTATAGTTCTATTTATGTAATTGCATCTGCCGATCCCTGGCCTTTGGATGCTGACATCAGTCAACTTTGAATAACTAGGATGGCTATAGTCCTGAAACCTCAATGAAGATCGGTGGAGAATCATTGTCCACATCGACATGGTCGCAAATGATACAGGTTCATATTCTTTCTACTGTTACTCATTTGGCTAGGCTTTCAAAACTCCCTCTGATTTGATTTTTTTGACAGCTGAACTTCCTGAAGCGTTTTCTTGGTGGCGGATTTGTTAACCACATGCAGGTTGGTGATCTTGCTTGATTCTTAATCTCCCTTTCTTTTGAGTGAGGTTTTATTTATATGAACTGCTGCTTGGGTTTATATATTTTTTTGCTTTCAAAATGATTTATTGGTTTTTTCTCTAAATTTGTTTAATTAGGAAAATGAATACCTTCAGGATGTTTTGGGGTTCACTTCAAAGCGAAAGAATATTCCTGGTGCTGAACATCGATTGTCTAGTACTGAAAAGGTATCTTCCTATTATTCTATGAAAACATGATTTCTCTTGCCCACAGCTCATGTTCTTTTTGAATGTGTGTATATGTGCATTCATATGCTCTGCCGAATCCTTTTTTTCCTTAGTCTGGAACCTGAGATCTATCTATTACGTGTCCTACCCTATCAATTTTTTTATTCTTCAATGCGGCTTCTAACCTTTGGAGAGGTACTTTCTGGATCACATATGAGTTGATTGCTTATGTGCCTATACCTTTGTGTCCGGAGGGTACTGTATGGGGTCAATTCTGACAAGCTCCATACACACCCAACACTCCAAAAGGACATAAAAGAATTTCAGAAATATCCATTCATCTCAAAAAAATAGAAAGAGCTCTTGAAGTAAAAATCTAGTTGGTCAGGATGTTTAAATCATTGTGTTACATTTCATCTTGCTTCTCATTTCTTGATTTTCCTTCAAGCTTTCTTGTCTCTGAACAAGATCGGTTTTCCTATTTGTGTATTGCAGAGGATGCTTCGATCATCAAATTCATGCCTCAACAAGGCAAGAACTCAGTTGCTGAATAAGCAGCGGATGTTAGTACAGGTAGTTTCTATCACCATTAATACTCGAGAACTAAGAAAAAGTGAATATTTGAACTCTCTCTTGATCTCTTATCCTATTTTTGATGTCTCTCTCTCTCTCCCCCCCCCCCCCCAACGAGAAGACATAGACAGGCATGCATGCACATGATTGTGAATTCAATAAATGGTTCCCTCCAAGTTTGTTTTATGTATACCATTTTCAAAAGATTGGGCTCAATATGGAGCCTTATTTCAAATTTTGGTACAAAAATTTTGGATTGACTGATAAGCAAAGACTATTTTATTTTAATCAACTTGCCTTATCCTAATTGCCCATGTGAGGTTGAGGTATTCATTATCATAAAAGTGGCATAGGCTTGATTTTTTGAGGTGATCCTATGTGCCTTGGAGCCGTTATAGGTTGCATTAAATTTTTAGCATTTCATAGTGATATAGGGACCTTTTGTAATAATCACTCAACATTCTATATGGAATGAGATAACTATGCTAATTTATTAGTCGTGATGTCTCCTATTCATTTACTTATCTGCGGAGTCAGGAAACCAACTCCCAAAGAAAAATGGCCTATAGGGTAAGACAGTTCAGGTGACTGTTTGTCATGGTTTGTCAAAGCCTAAAGTGGCTGTTCTTGTGCCCAGATAGTGGTTTTTAGCCCAAGCAGAGAAATGCTTATTAACTAGCTTCAAAATATTCATTTTTATCAAACAGTAAAGTACTAGTTTAGTATTAATTCATATGTCATTTTTCTTTGTTCTTCAGGGTAGAAATGCTGGTCACTTCGCAGTCAATATGAATGACGAGGAGCTATAGAGATGATGTACTGATTGTGTCTCCCCAGCTTCTTCATGTATTAAAATTGTATGGGATTAAATAGGAATCATTTTGTCAAACATCGATTGTCGATGGAAACATTGAAATGGAAGGTTGTTAAAAACTTAGTAATTAAATTTGTTAGTGTTCTTTGTGCTTACCAAAAGCACCTGATAATAAATTTCTGAGAATTTTATCAAAAGCTGCTTCTAGTTTGACATTCTACTATATTCATTTAAATTTAGTAAGCTACATAAGTTTACATTTGAGAAAAAAATGTCAGAATTTTTACCAAAATGACGGTAAGTGTGCCAGAAGGCTCTTCTCCTTGATCCTTCTTTGCTGTATTGTGTTGCAAATGATAGGAAAGGGAAGGCAGTTGATTTGGGGCACCAGCCTTAATTTCTTTACTTTCAAGTGTACCTCAACTCTTAATTGATTAGCGCTCTCATCTCATTTAAATATGGTTGTCAACTTCCAATATAGTCTTGTTTTGCTTGCATATTTGCTGTGAAGTACTTTTCATTTTTCTTCTTCGTAGTGTCATAACTTGATTACAGTTTTTCTTTTTACTAACAGCATATAACAGGCAAGTTGAATTTAGGTTGCTCAATGAAATAGGTGACTAACTACTACATTAGTTCGCTATTAGTTGGTACTAACTACATAAACCGCATTGAAATGGGTATGATTACCATATTTGTTATACTCCGTTTAAGAGCACATGTATTATATGTATATGTTAATAAAAAAGTATCTCTATCTCATTATGTGAGATATATATATATATATATATATATATGAGTGTGTTTGTGTGTGTGCTTATACGCTAAAAGGAGCAGACTAGCTAGCGAGAAGGCAAACTTGGACCAATTGATGACAACAATACAAATCTGTTGCCAGCGAAGGGCCCATGAATCATATATATCATATACTATATAGATACTGATAATCAAGCATGGGGATGAGGCATTCTAGTCTCTCTATCTCGTGATTGATATTTCATGTCACAACATTATATTACCCGATGAGATTGAAAAATTTTGATTTTTGATGTTTGAATCGATTTGAAATTAAAAAAGTAAGACCAAATATATATTTAATCGAAATGAGAGAACCAAAGATACAATTTAGCAGAAATTGAAATGGATGGGTTGCATATTATGCAGGCACTTCTGGCACTTATCTCTGGGGTATTACGATAATTATATAATATAACTATATTAGCATGACTTGTCATTATTTTATCAAAAAGAAGATTAGAAAGATATTTCAGAAAGAAAGAAAAAAAGAACATGCATATATGTATGTAATGTATTTATATATACTAATCATTCGGAATTTCCAGGCCAGCTACCCATGCAACACGCACTGCCTAACTCTCAATTCTCTTCTCTTTTCTTTCCCAATATAACTCGACGTTTAACCAACCACTGTCCCGATTTACCTTTATACCTTTCCTCTTTCTTTTTCTTTTTTTTTGCCCTTTCGAAACGGGTTCTGCAGAGCCTCCATATATATATATATATATGTACACACAAATGCACATGTATATTATATATAAAAAAAATCAGAAAATAAATCCCTGCCCCCGCCCAATAAAAAGAAAAAATAAAGCAAGGTTACGTCAGTTTGACATGTAAAACATGGAGTTTATATATGTGTATGTATAGTATAGTATAGGGTACAAATGAACTTAAGATGGACACGGCAGAGACATGCTTCAGTATCATTGCTTAAGTTTGATTAAATAAAGATGACGAATTGTTGTTGGACTTTTTTGAGTTGGGCTGGCTCCATGAGGACCTGCCATACGAGTTGCCATGCACAGGCGTGAAAACTAAAATCTCCTTTTCAGACATGTGGATCCATGTATGCAATTTATTATTGCAACCTAATTAGGTTGGCCATGCATATGCATGACCAATATATATCACCTTAATTATTTGATATATATATATATATATATCAGCAATTTATTTCCCAAATGTTATTAGTACGCTCTTTTTTAGAATTTCTTTTTTTTTTTTATTTTGGTACCGTGCTCCCGTCAACTTATTAATTTGAATCCATATTATGATATATTTCATTGATGTACACGTTAAATAAGTTCAATATTTATTTTTTACTGAAATTTTAGATAAAAAGTTCATATTAATATTTAATTTTTTTTATTATTTCTCTTAAATTTATTTTTATTTCTCTTCTTTAACGATAATGGTACATATTTTCCATTTTTTTCCGGATTTATTTTGAAATAATTAGAGGCCAAAAAGACTTCCATAGAAAACATAAATTATTCTCTGGGGAAGTAACAAGAAGCTCTTATAGACATAGACAGGAATTAATTGTATGCAGAAAAAACTTAATCTCTACCAGAAACTATATACCTACCTACATAAACATATATATATATATATATGGATCCTGAATGGGAGGATTTTGTATGGGGATTTATAATTATGGGCGCATTATCTAACTAGAGAAAAATCTATAGAAGACAGTGTGTGTGTGTGTGTATATGTACGTATGTATAGAAAGTGGGCGCAAAAGATTGGGTTGTTGTTGATGAAAGAGGTAACAAGATTGTCCCTGGATTGTTTACATGAAACAGTGGTGGATTGTTGATATATAAGTATATACTTATACATATGATAGTTGAATTATGTAATGTAACTTTTTTGGAGAAGAAAGAACTCAAACCTGTTTGATCTGCCTGGTCTCTCCATGTTTGCCTTTTCCCACGCCCACTTTCATCCTATCTACAGTCCCATATGCTTTGTTGCATGCCTAACTAGCAGATTCTTAAAGGACCACACATGCGCTGGTATATATATATATATATATATATTTATGCATCAGCTGCTCGAAGAACCACTTAATTAAGTTAACACAATTTCTGCTTGATTATATATATGTATGTATATATAATTGTCGATAAATAAGATATCAAAAGAGACTATTTGATTTTTGTATATCTAATGATATACAAAAAAATAAATAAAATAAAATAAAACTAGAGAGAGATCAAAGTTAATTAATTTTTATATTTAAGATATAGAAGTTGTTGTATGCTCTAAAAATAAATTGGCCCCATAGATATAATTTTTATATTTTATAAAAATAATATTCTAATAAAAATTTATTAAAAGTAATAATGCTTAACATTAAAAGGAAAAAGAAAAGAAAAGAAATGAGAAGTAATTGTTAATTCATAATTATTTTGGAAAAGAGAAATGGGTGAGGCCCAACAAACTTGGGCTTTAGGGGCCCAACATCAGCCCGGCCTATCCAATCAAAAACAAAAAACTGTGGGCCCCATGTTCCCTATTTATTCATAATGTAATAATAGCTAGTGGGAAAACTAAACAAATTGTCAACCCCTTTTTTTTTTTTTTGGAAATAAAAAGAAGAAAACAAATTATCAACCTTAGGATTGTATGAACAAATATATATATATATATATACTTTATTTGGTGCATTGCATATAAAATGAATTTAAGGAGTATGTTACATGTTCATATCAAAGAACTATAATCAATCAAACATAATATTAAGATTTAAATACAATTATTTTTCAATTTTAAAACCCTGCAAAAAATTTCTTGATAATTTTAGAGTTTTGCTCGTACAATCCTAATTTTTAGAAGTTTCAAAATAATATTGAGGTAAATATTTATTTAAAAATTTAATATAAATAAACTTTTTAAAAAATGTTCAGACTGACAGAAATAAAGCACGTGCTTAAATGAGGCAAAATTAACATTACTTCCCTTTTGCCTGTAGAGGTAAAAATGATCAGATTGATGCTTTTGAGAAAGAGAGAGAAGTGAGAAAAAATAGAAAACGATAAAAAATGGAAGACGACTACTCTTTACTTCTCTGTCAAGAAGAAGAATCTTGTTTAGAAGAAAAATCGGAAGCCATCGAAGAAAATGTCTTTACTGGTAACTTAAACAATCACGGTACTCCTACATTGAATGACCATGTCGGCTGTGACGACAAGGACGTCGATGAAGAGTATATTGAGAAGTTGTTTCGCAAAGAGACGAGTTTTGATTTCAACCGGACTCAGTCTTTGTTTCTTGCTAAATCACTGAAACCTGCAAGATTGGAAGCCATTGCCTGGATTCTCAGAGTCGGTAGTTTTATTTTTCTTGTTGGTTTTCTCTGTTTCTTTCAGTTTATACTTACAAGTCATGATATGGGTTTAATGATGCTCATGTTTAGGGTTTTTGCATATTGTCAAACACAAAATAGTGAAGTCTTTGGATTTCGTTTTCAAACGGCTTATTGATTGATTTATTTTCTCTGCCGGCTTGTATTTTCCTATCTTGATAAGGGTTTAATACGATCTCTCGTTTGGCTTTCAACATTGTCAAACACAGACTAGGGAAGTGTTTAGATTTCAGTGTCAAACAGCTTATTTGTCAATAATTTATTTCGATCGATTCCTTTCAAAGAAGTCAATTAATGTAAGTTCCTTAACAGCTTTTCCTTTTCTTCAACTTTCTCGGGATTGATCACTTCGTGCTTCTTTTTATAGATAGAATCATCGCGGACGATCCGGTTACTATCAGTTACATGTCTCACCTTGGCAAAAAAGGAGGAGGTCAGGCTTCCATCCATCGTAGATTTTGATTACAGACTCAATCGCGAAGGAATTAAAAAAATGGAGCTTCTGTTCCTGGAAACATTGGAATAGAGAATGCTTTCAGTCACTCCATTTTCCTTTCTCCATAACTTCATATCCAAGATGTGTAAAGATTCTTCTTCAACTAGCAGTGTTGTTTCCAGGGCTGATCAACTAATCCTAAATATAATGCGATGTTCAACTTAAATCTAATGTTCTCTCTATTTTTTTTACGTGGTGTTAGGACAAATTTAGTTACCTGTCTGCTTCAATCAAAGAGAATTGGAAATCAAGTTTTCTTTGTGTGCTTTTATAGAGATAAATCTAATCGAATACAGACCATCTGCAATAGCTGCAGCTGCAACAATGGTGGCACTGGTGGAGGATAGATTATCAATAGAAGAATTGGGGAGTAAGATGCATCCCATTCCTTATTCTGGCTTTCTTGACATTGTGAGTTCTTTCTTACTTTCCTATTCGGTTTATCTATTTTACAAGAGCATATTTCTCATTATGTTTCTAAATAATTTTCTTTAGGCAAAAGTTTTTGTTGGGTTTTCTCAAACAGG